AAGAAGTATCCTTCCATGATGTGTACCTCGCGGATGATACAAGTTTTAAGTAGTTCCTGTCTGAGAACCGGCTCAACGTGCATTTCTAAAACCGTATAAAAAGCAAAGATTGTTTCAGGTACAATTTTACATTTTGCATCCGCTCTCGGGCAATGAAAAGAATAAATGTCGCGCTATTAACAAGTCGTAAAAAGAATGAATAAAACTGTTCGTGCGTTTCTTGTACGTATTTGCTTTGTACCCAAAGAAATACCAAAATACTTAATTCATTTCAATAGACAACAAAAATTCTCTCTTTCGATGAAAGAAATATTTGAGTTCTGTTTCATATTTAACTTATACTCACGCATAAAATAAATCCTTATCATCATCCATTCCGATTTAGTTCGTATATCATTCAAACACTTATTTACATACAAACACGGTCGCCCAAATCTCCTTTTCCGCAAAGATGAACGTGCTGTGGTATAGCGTTCTACCCATCGAAATCACACAGCGCGGTGGCACGGATCGAGCCGAGTCGAGTCGGGCGGTATTTATCAGGTCGGAAATCACACGGGAAGGAAGATGATTTATCGTCGTGCGAGATACATCCACCGATACGGTGTGGCAACCGAGACGGATGACGTTTCGCGAGACTGACGATGATTTAAATATCTCCCTGCTGCGCAACGCCAGTATATCCGGCCCTGGAGCGCCTCGTTTCCTCCTTTTTCGCTCCACCACGGCTAGAATAAGATTTCTCAAGCGTGGGCCGCCCTGTCACTCAAAAACCGCCGCGACCCTCTTGTTCGTTTAAAGGGATATTATCTCCGGGACACGCTGCCGCCCAATACCGCATTGTGAACGATGAATCATTGAAACCTTCACCGATCGCTCGGCTTCCGGGTGAGAGGGGCTCGTTTAAAACATTCACCGCGCCACGGTGACGTTAATTAAGGGCGCGACCGAATCAAAGCTCGCCTCTCTTCGGGACGAAATTTCATCTATTGTGATGCCACGATGAAAAATTGTTCGGCATTAATCAGCTGAGTGCGCGCTGGCTCGTTTTTGATAAGCGCTTGAGCTCCTCTTGAATCGTTGGGTTAGACGGTGGCAATCTGGGACTGGAGTAGATTAGCCCGGTTTTGTAATTTCGTTTTTCTCTGAACGGTGGATGAAAGTTGCTCTCTCCGAGTGTATCTTGCTCGCCCGGCTCGCTTACAGTGTTTGTATTTCTTGCTTGCAGGATTCCATTTCATGCTGTCTGATGAAATACGCGGAAACAGGTTAGAGAGCATTGTTCAGTTGCATCAATTATATAAACTACTAAAGGTACAATTTAGTAATAATTCGTGTATTATTTGAAGAACAGTTTTATTGCTACAAATATTCACTATTTCAAACAGTTTCTTAATAAATTGCACTTTGTTCTACGCGAAGATATATTAAAAGAATAAATATTCATATCTGAAAACTGGAAGATAGGAGATTAGAAAAGTGGATAAATGTTCCACCGTTTATCACGCTTAATCGCAGGCCACAATCCAGTGCAGGATCGTAGGTAGAGGTAATTGCAACTTTTCGGTATCTCATCTTAACATTGTTAAGGAACATCGTTATCGGTAATCGACTCGTAGGAAGACGAGAGAGAGAGAAATCCGATTTCCAGCGTGGCAGGGGCGCCAAGAGTTTTTCTCCATTAGCACGGCAGCCGACCCTTTTGATTCCCGAAGGAGCCGGTGCCGTACAAAGGTCACTCATATGCAGCACGCTCATAGATCATGGTTAGTCGGACCCCTGCTCGGCCGGTGGTTAGCCGTAAGACTTTACCTTAGCATCCTCAATTATCCACGGGATGGTTCGTTTCCCCAAGGAGCGGAGCCCATTGCCGATCCCGCAAAACTTTCCCTTGTAATTAAATCATTAATTAAACACTGACTTTTCCTCATTTCTTCGCGCCTTGCACGCGGATCGATGATCATGAATGAAATTAGTGTCATGAAACATTAATCAAACCAGTTCTCTCATTCCTTATGAATTCTTTTTCATGACGGAACATTGGAATATTTAATGTAGAATTGCTTGCTCTCATTTCTTTGTTCTTCGTCCCAAGCCAACGGATGCATGAAGAACTTGGTATTGACCCTTTGCCGATATCGGCTTAATGAAAATTCACTGAAACGACAGTTGCCCTCTGTAGTTCCTCGTTCCTGAGTAGTTCGTCACGGAACATCATCTGATTCATCCAGCCAAAATGTCGAACGATTTACATCTGGCTCTTCGCGGCAATTTCTCCGTGTTCTCTTCGCTCTGTAAATAACGAACGCACATATAGACAGTCCGTGGCCTCAGGTGGTTGTGCGAGTCGAAACTCGCTCGCTCGCGATGGCAAATCGTAAACGGGTCGTCCGATATCCGTTGA